ATTTAAAAGTAATTTAATAGTTTTCAGATAAATAAAACACTGTATAATCTTCATTGTGTAAATAAATAAATACAACTTCATACGGCTGCACAATAATGGAAAAAAACTAATAATTACTTGTGCCCAAATGCTTTAAACTCACTTAAATTGTTTACTCAGCTACAGGCCTTAAAAACACATGCAATTGATCAACTTAAAATTTACTATAATTAAACTGAAATGACACCTAAATTGTGATGTGTTCTAAACTGTGGCTCCTGGTCAACTATAATCCCAAATCCATATTGCAGGTTCTGCAATGAGACTATTGAGCATTCACACATTGCGAAATCGATGCTAAAATGATATATTGTGCAGCCCTACAACTTATCTTTGTTATAGATACATACTTGCCTGAAATGCCCACAAAGTCTTCTGCCCTAAAAATGCATGCAAAGGATCAATTCTTTCTATAATGGCTACATTTAACTATTAAATCATTGTGCAATTACTCTTCATTTGACATTGCAGACCCTACGATGTGACTATTGCAGATGAGCACATTGCAATATTGACCCTATGAACACATCAAATTTATAGCATGAAAAGCTTCTTTTGTTGAAGTAAAACATTTTAAATATGTATTAAAACTAGGCCTTATTAACTAGATGTTATTAAATCAGATGTTTTGAATCCTGATAATTACTTACAGCATTTAAATTTAGCACTGTAGAACTATACATACATGGCTATTCATTTTTACTTATCTATCAAGCATACATCTCTTATGCGTATTTAAGCATGTATTTGGCAGGAATTAGGTAAAACAAAAAGTTTTTTTAAAATATGTTTTCTATTGGAATACGTAAAGCAAATCATGTTATGTCTATATTGAAATACAGGATTTTTATTTTGCCAGTCATGCAATCTCTCTGAAATCATTAGAACATGCTCATTTATTACACAGTGCAGCGTGTATGTGTGTGTTTATATATATAGACAATAGATGCAAACGCCTGTAAGTGCTGTCCGAAATTTACTTCTAAAATTAGCATTTTTCTTAGGCTAAAGTAAATTACGATTAAGTAAACTCACTTTTATGGTGAAGAATAGTTTCTTTTCAATGCCTTTAAAGTGAAATAACCAAACATAAACATGGGAGGCTGAGAAAAATGGTTATTTTAGAAGAGGATTTTACTATCTGAACTCTATACTATATCCTGAAAACAGTTGTGCTGCTTGAGGAATAAGGAAACAATGATTCTTTTTAAAGATTATTTTAAGAACATGTTTTCAAAATAGACTTTATGGTAACAGTGACTTTCAGTTCTGATTTATTTGAAGTATGCTTGCTTAATAGAAGTATGAATTTCTAAAAATTTATATTTTTAAATTTCCCAGTGATGAGTTGCGGCTAGAAGAGCATCCGCTGCGTAAAAACATATGCTAGATAAGTTGGCGGTTTATTCCGGTGTGGCGACCCCAGATTAATAAAGGGACTAAGCTGAAAAGAAAATGAATGAATAAATAAATTTTTTAAATAAGTGTATAAAAAATTAATAGCAATTAACCAACCCAATTACAGTATATCTGGAATTGTTGCTATGTTTGCATTTCACAAGTCATCATCATGTACAGTATCTGTTTGTATTAAGTGTGTAGCGACACTTCTGATGTTATCAGATGGATTGAGTCACCGATTAGAAACCTCTTATGTCATGTATGCAACTCAATGCCAAGCACATCTCAAGGCTTCATCAACATAAACATTACGCACTTCCTCACATCATCTTATCTTCACAAGTTTGAGTTTTTGGGCTCATCTACCCTCAGCTTTGACCCATTACAACAACATTACATTTTGTGTCTCAAGTCTGTACCAACTACATACATCTATGCTGTACTTATTTGTGCACAATGAATGCAATTTTAAGAGAATTATTCCTAGAGCTTCCTAAAAACATATGTTGTCTCATATGAGAGGGGAGGGACAGGACAGGGCTGTGTACTTTTGGAAGGAGATGGAGGGAGGAAAGCTGTTTTCCTGTCTCACACCAAAGGGCAGGGAGGATCTCAGTGATGTCAAAACGAGGGCACAGACTGAAAGATATACACTCTCGTGAACGAAAAATTGTGCTGTCCATAAAAGGAAAAAGTACCAAAGACAGTTATATATTTCTATTGGAAAAATGTCACTTCACATCATAAGAGAGACATGCATTTTACATTCATCAAATATTCAAGGATGAGAACTGAGGGTATGTTTTTCAACCCGATACACGCAGCAGCCTTGTCTGAAACACTGAGTAATGAGTCTAACCAAGGCAACAATATCAAGTCATCGGCTCTAGAGATGATGCATGAACATCTATTCTGCAAGATTCTCTTCATGACGTGCTCAGCATGAATCTGCCAACTCATTCCCAGCAATATGGGTATGAGAGAGAGGTCAAGCGCAGATTATCAAACCTCTCTAATGAGCCAGACATCTCTGATTGAGTTCCAACATTACCAAACAAATTAGGCAAAGCAATGGCAAGGCTACATAATGTTCAGGGTTGCACTAGTTCCACTCAGACTGATGTTGGTCCACCCAATCAGATGAAAGTTAATAATCACTATAATACAAGGAAGAAAAAAATAATATCAGGGATCCAACACTATGACCATTTGGGTCAATACAATTAACTCTTTATATTTAGAAGCTGATAATCCATACAAATTTTGATATTAAAAAGGGAGTTCAACCAAAAACTTTTATTTTCTCACTGTTTCACTCAGTGGTTCCGAACCTTTATGAGTTTCTTTTTTCTGTTGCACACAAAATAAGATATTTTGAAAATTGCTGAAAATATTTACCATTGATTGTGGAAAATCAAATAATATAGAAGTCAGTAGCTTCTAGCTTTCTTCAAAATATTTTCTTTTATGTTTAACAGAAAAAAAAAAAAAAAACTCAAAGGCTTGAAACAAGTAAGTGGTAAACCATGACAGAATGATATTTGGGGGTAGACTATCCCAGGTAAAAAAAGTGCACTAAAATGCATCTTATTTAAGTATACTTAGTACACTTTTCAGTAATGTACTAAAAGTGTTTGTTTTCGCACACTAATTTTGTACTTAATGTACTAAAAGATAGTGTTAAGTATATGTTAAGATAAACTTAATAACATCTAAGTGTACTCAACTGAGACACCCTGAAATTGAACTAAAATGTGCTTTTAACATACTATATCTGTATTTTAAAAAATATATATTTAGTTACAACTAGAAATACATTTGAACCCTACTTTTAAACATTTAAATATATTTATGACTAATTTAAAGTATAATAGTAATATATTAAAATAATATATAAATTGTAAAAAAAAAGTGTGCTAAATACTGTATTAAAATTATTTTGGGAAAATGTACTTCTACTACAATACATTAGTAATAGATTTTTAATAAAGTCAATTTAATGTAAACTTAAAATTATCACACTCAAAATCAATTTAAGTGTTAATGATAATAATGCATTCATATTACGTGTACTTAAGTACAAGTTTTGGGAAAATGTACTTCTACTACAATACATTACTAATAGATTATAATAGAATACATTACTAATATTTATGTATTAACTTATTTTAAACTTAGGATTAGTATGTAAACAGTGTACTAAAAATCAACTCATGTTTGAAGCATTTACAGCACATTTAAAAAAAAACACACTAATAAAACTCTTTTGGATGTTTTTTCTGTAGTGTACTTTATTGTAGTACATTAAAAATTTATTTAAGTATTACTGGTATTTAGTATGCTTTTGTCAAGTGTACTAAAGTCCCACTGAAGTATAAACATACTTTTAATTAGGATATTTATAGTGTAAAACCATCAAACTTTCATTTAACACAAAAAATAACAATGTACTAAAAATTTATTTGCGGGTATTTAAGTGTATTTTAATTGCATTTAATTATATATTTTTTTCACCTAGGACCCCTTTCATTTAAATGATAATAATAATTCCTTATGTTTTTATAGAGCTTTCTGGTCACTCAAAGCTTTTTAAACATTGGGGGGAATCTCCTCATCCAACACCATTGCGCAGTATCCACATGGATGACGTGACGGCAGCCATATTGCGACAGACCGCACACCACACAACAGGCTTATAGAGATGATATACACTCGCTTGGTGGAGAGGAGACAAGAGTAATGAAGGCAATTATGATATGGGGAGGGTAAGGAGGCAATGATGGTCAGAAGCTAGTGGGCAAATTTGGCCAGGATGACAGGGTTAAACCCCTACTCTTTTTCAAAGGACATCCTGGGATTGTTAACAACCACAGAGAGTCAGAACCTCGGTTTAATGTCTCATCAGAAAGACTGAGCTCACTGACAGTATAGAGCCCCCTTCACTATACTGGGGCATTAGGACAAACACAGACCGCAGGTAGAGCTCCCCTTGTGGTCTCATTAACATCACTTCCGGCAGCAATCTAACTTTCTAATGTGGTCTCCAATGCATATATCCATATAAAAATAGCAAATACAGTGGAGTGGACAACTCATTTTATATGTAAAAGCCTTAAATGCAGAATTAAGTAATGTGCATGTACTACATGAGGTGAGGTAATAATCCAACAGATGTGATAGCATTAAAAACAAACTGTGAAACTAACCCACCAGAATATTGTGCATAATAAAATATGTTCTTGATGGAGGAGCGTGACTCTTCCAATTGTGCACTTCCATTATGTAATACATAACATTAACGTTAATCTTAATAACTTTTAAAAACATTTTTTGCCAAAACATGTTAATGATATTTTAGCTGTTGAACTGTTTTAGCTGTTTAAATCAAAAAGACAATTAAGCCTCTTTCTGCAAAGTCCAAATTTCTGACCTCGCCAGCAGAGCAAAGTAATGCTGAAAACCAGTTCTTTATGACACATGCAGGTGTATACAGTAGCAGCATAACTAACTGTTTCATCTGTTGACAAAACACTGATTAATTTCCAAGCATTGTTACTTACTGCACTGGTTTAATAAGCTATTCATGTGCATCTTGGTGTGGGTGGAGGGGAGGTCCGTCTGAACTCAAAACACAGACAAACTGGGAAGTGCCTATATGACAGAAGCTGAGAAAAGGGACACACAGAAGCAACCATGAACAGACACACAAAACACAGCAAGAACTTACAAACATTAAACACATTTTTCTGACAAGACATCTTAAATGCAACATGAACTCTGATAAAGTCTAAAATCACATTGCATTGTACGAGACAGAAAGACTTGAAATAGTTATTATATTCCAGTTTTATCTCTGCTGCAAACTGTTCATTTGCTAATTGAGTACATGAAAATGACAGACGGGTGAGTGGGTGGATGGATGAGCAAGATGCTGTTGACAACCAGAAATGGTTTACATTTTTAATATGCACGTGCGTTTGTCTAAAGAATCATTTCAGACTAACAAACACACACACATAACTAGAAAATAACCAAAAAAAAAAAGCACAACACCACAGCACTCTGGGGAAAAAAACATAAATCAATGGGTTACTTACAGCAGAAAGCACCCCGGTGTTTTCACCTCCGCTGCTGCTGTTGATTGATTGCTGACCGATCAAATAGTATCGACTATAAACCATAAACAAGTTCTAGTCGGAGACAAACCGGTGGCATCGCTTCTACTGCGCTTCTTGGATGGACTCCATTTACCGTCAGTCACTCAAGCTGACTGTCCTCAAACACTCACTGAAACACCCTCCTTCAGCTGCTCGACAGGGTTTAAAGCGGTTCAGCCTGGATGACAAATACATGTTTAATGGACCGTGTGTGTGTGTGTGTGTGTGTGTGTAGTGGGAGCCAGTTGCCATGACGTCATAATAGTTGCGTTCTGCTCCACCCACCTGTTGGACCACTTCAAAGCAGAGTTGTTTGGAACTGGGCATAGTTTTGATTCAGTGACTCGAATCTTCCGAATCTCTTCACTGTAAATGTGTGCACTGCGTTTTCCTCTTCAGTGGTCACATTTATTTAGTTTTTTGCCCACTTCTAAGCATTTATCTAATAGAAATATAATAAATTATACTCAACGTGTATTTTAATTGAGTACACATCCATTATTTTCACACATCCATAAATAATTCTTACTTTTTATATGTAGGTTGTTCACTTAAAAGCCATGTCGTTAAAATGGATAATAAAACATACTGTTCATTTACTCAGTTGAATTAAAAATCTGACTGGCTGAACACTTTTAGCTTAGCTTAGCATAAATCATTGAATCGGGTTAGACCATTAGCATATCACTCCAAATGTTCCAAAATAAGAGTTTCACTAATTTTCCTATTTAAAACTTGGCCTTTTTTACATGTAAGACTGACAGAAAATCAAAAGTTGCTATTTTGGGGTTGAAATGGCTAGGAACTAATCTCATTCAGGTTTAATATTAAATGAAACTTGTGATAAATAAAATGCAATAACTGCTTTTGAGTAAAACAAATCAACAACACATGCAGGCAAAATATGACCATATTACACAATAGCTAATAATAATAATAATAATACAATACAATTTATATATACAGTGCCTTTCCAAAGCTCAAACTATATAGAGAAGCTATATTTTAAAACAATTTAAAAAAAAGAATTCAAACAAACATTTTGCATACGTTCTCATGAGAGAAAGCTGAGAGAAAACATTTAGAAATTTGCTCAGAACTGTGGATTAACCCGATGATGGGCAATGGGCAAAGCTAGTGTTTTTCAGTCAATGATGAACTTCCGGTGAAAGCTTAATTTGACTATTTTCAATTTCATAAGGTTCCTTTTACAGCATAAATGTAGTAATGCAATTCACATATAATCAGTCAAATAGAATTAAGCATTCATTTGGTTGTTAAAACATAAAAATGGACAAAGGACAGTTTAAACGCATGCACCTTCATTAGCAGCAGGTTACCGCTGAAATTCAACAAAGAATTTAACGCAGTGCTTCTTGCTTGGTCTGATACCCACTTTATATCATATTTCAGCCAGGCACAGTGAAGATCTCTGTTTTTTTTTTTTTTTTTTTAAGAAATCAGATCTTGAACGCTGTGATTTTGTATGGGATGACAATTAACCGGAAGCCCTGGGGCTGGCTGACTGAAATTAAAATCAGTGTGCATATACCTCATTGTACTGTACTTTAGGAAGCATCAAAAAGCATTTGTTTTGGAATCATGCTGTGTACAAAGATCCAATGATAATTACTAAAAATCTATTATAAAATGTTCTGTATTTTTATTCTAAATAAGCCATGTTCAAAGCTGTTGTAAATTATGCTGCTTTTATGCTATGTTGTAATTATAATAATTAAAATACAGATTCAAACACAACTTATCCATTTACAATTATTTATTACGAATGACAGTCAATATCCCTTTAAGGCTATTTGTATTCTATAGTCTTTGTGACAGTCGACAAAATGAACCTGCATGAAAAAAGTGCAGCATGTCTTACATTCAATTCACTTAATGAAGACATCTACATTGGCAAAGGCTAACTTCACAATTTAAAAAAGTCACAATCTGCCATTGTTCTCAAGTCACCTTAGATGAACTGAGGCGAATTAGGCTATTAACCTAATTAATTATTTAATTTTTATTTATTTATCTTTTTTTTTTTTTTTTTTTGGCTGACTGCCTCTTTAAGAAGATGACTCGCTCCAATCCGAGCCGCTTCCGTCAGTGACTCGTTCAGAGCCGAAAATGAATCAATGGCAGTTCGTTCGTTATAAAGATTAGTTTATAAAATACAGATTTAAACACAACTCCGGCTTGGTAACACACCTATGATGCTTACAGATACGGACTATGAAGACTACATCTGGTTTGTAGATAAACTGATAATTTACAGAAACAAAACAAAAGCAACAAAGACAATTCAGCCAAATGCCAACTTTAATTAAAGGACTTAAAATTGCTTTTTATTGTGTATATAAAAGCGAAATGCTTTGTGTCTGAACAGCAGATTTCCAGGCGCTAACACACCACGTAATGCAATACTAATCCTATCTGCTACATTATACAGGCTCTCAGGCTGGTACATTTACAGGACATCATTATGCAGCACAGAGCTGAGTTGATTATAAAATATACACCAAATATCAAGCATGCAATCTTTCAGTGAATAATGCATTGCTAAAGTGCATCCTGAAAAAACTTAAAAGCTATTTCCTCTTGACATTACTGAGGAAAGAGCGCCCCCATTTGTTTACATTTTGCACCTGACTTTTTGTGATCTGCTTGATGATCAAATGTTCTATACCGAGCAACTGTGGCAATAAGGACAAAATGCAGTCTTTAGCTGAATAAGTAAAATTTTATGTATTTAAATTGTAAATATCTGTCCAATACTCTTTTATATATTCATTATACAGTAGTCAACATTTGAAGTGAAGTATCACTTTTAATCAAAGTTGTCCTAAAACTATTGAACAGCATTCATTCTTTTCCTAGGACAATTTTTGAAAACCATTTTTGATTCACTTCAAATGTTGAATACTGTATATGTGACTCTTAACCACAAAACCAGTGGTTATACTTCACATTAAAGTCAAATACATATGCTTTCCACAGATGCATATGTTATGATATGACAATATTTGGCAGAGATACAAGTATGCAGTGAATATAAATAATCAAAAAGTTTCTTTAATATATGTTTACAGCAGGACATTTATGAAATATGTCATGGAACATGATCTTTACTTAATATTCTAATACACACACATAGAGAAAAAAACAGGAGCACAAGCATTTAGTTTAAACAAATGGAGCTTTAGTAGGGCACATTATTTAGCCAATAATCTGCCAATAAAAAGAGACTGTCATTCATATTAGGACTTTTCACCTTCTGTGAAAAAAAGCCTTTCTGGGTTTCTGTTATCTAAAGTTTTTCTAATCTCCACTTTAACCCAGTAGATGCTCTATTTCTATTTGCATAACAATGACTATTTATGTTTATTATGTGTTATTATCAGTGTTGGAGGTAACACATTGCAAGTAATGCAAGTTACATAATGTTTATTGCCAATTGTATATTGTTTTGTTTTTTTGGGAGTATGTTGTTGTTGTATTTTGCACTGTCTGTATTTTGCACCGTTTGTAGCCAGCACCTAAGCATTTCACTCATTATAGTACAAGTGCTGCTTATGATGTGACTATAAAAGTGATTTGATTTGATATTACTTTACTAAGTAATGAGTGAAGTAACTCATTACTTATAAACAATAAGTAATAATATATGAGTTACTTTTTAGTTTAATCCGCTTTTAAAAACATACATTGCTGAATTAAAATTAAAGTAGTCAAAATGCAGTCCATGAGAATGTGTTCATTAATGAACGCATCAAAGAAAAGGAAAAGGGGATTGTCTCAATGAACAGTGATTCTATTTAAGACAAATAGTACAAAAGTAGTAAACATTTATTTCTCAAAGAGATCAAGCCAGGTAATAAAAAGTAACAAAAGTAACACAACTAGCTATTTTGGGGGGGGGGGGGGGGGGGTAACTCAATATTGTAATGCATTTCTTTCAAAAGTAACTTTTCCCGACACTGGTAATTCTTCTTCTTCTTTGGCCTTAGTCCCGTATGATTGCGGGGTCGACTCTTTGGAACAAGTCTCTATTTAGACTTGTCCATATGATAACGACTTTTTTTACACATTCCGGCCGGCCTGTCGTCTGGGCCAGTCACCCTCATACACTACAGACAATTTAGCCTACCTAATTCACCTGCAGCATGTCTTTGGACTGTGGGGGAAACCGGAGCACCCGGAGGAAACCCACTCGAACGCAGGGAGAGCATGCAAAGCCGCGGTTCAAACCAGCGACCTTCTTGCTGTGAGGCGACAGCACTACCTACTGCGCCACTGCTTCGCCCTTTCCCAACACTGGTAATTATTATAATTAATTTTTTTCTATTTAATTATAGTGCACTGGTAATTATATAATTAATTTGTTTTCAACATGCAAAATGAGACTTCTGAAAGTCATGCCAGATTCGAATAAGATACTTTGGCTTAAAACCATTGACTATAATGCGTGTGGCAAAAGTGCATCTTTCATATTTAAGTCTGCGCACCTCAAAAAGATTTCGAAGTCCTAAAAACTGTGTTGCATAAACTGGTTTTACACCCAGCACGTCCAGACACAACCCCACATAGACATCTTCAAGTGGAATTGGTTGCACAAATCTTGAGGCCCATGATATTTTTCCAGCCAGGTCAGTGGAAAAAACATAGGCAGCTCCAGAAACGTATGGTGGATACCAGGATTTTGGGTAAAGGTCCTCAGAGATGTACCATTTGTTGATGCTGTCCCTGTGAGGAATTGCATCAGAAATGACCGATCCAGTGATGTAGTCTTTCCTTGATTCACCCTGGCCATGCAGGTAGTCCACCAAGTAATGGACATTAAGAAAGATATCAGCATCAATCTTCATGGCATACCAAGCACTCTGGCAATAAGTTGCTACCCAATTCATAATCATCATTGTTTTGATTGTCAGATTTTGGTAGCTGTCCACAAAATCCATCTGAATAATATCTCCATGTTCCTTGCTCTCCTTCTGAAGGTGTTCCTGCAATACTGGGTCACTTCGTGCAGGCTGACCAACGACAAACAAATGCAAAATACTCACACCAGGAACTAAGCCATCTTGACCCCATGTTCTCCTGATAGCAGTCCTCGCCTCTGCGTCTTTGAGGGTAACTGGGATCATCAGAATTAAGAAAGGAGTTTTCTTCTCACACACTTCTGGCTGGTTCAGTATAAACCTGTATGTTGAAGGTGAGATCACTTTATATAGCTCTTTAGAGATAGGACTATTTCCCGGAACAGACGGATCAAATACTAAACTGTTAAAAGCGAAGAAAACAAGTGTTATTAACCCAGCTAAAGCAAGGTACGTGAAAAGTTTGAATCGCGATCGTTTTCGCATGGCGAGATACAAGCTTGAGGGAAGTTAGAAGAGTTCCGTGTCACGCTAAACCAACCTCGGTCGTATGCTCGGCAGAAACGCCCAACGCCCAGCCCCCCTGACACTTGTTTTGACTCGTAACCTTTGTAAAAGTGAACGAATAATTAGTAAATCAACTGCTATCCCACTTTTAAAGTAGTTTCATTTTGTATTTTTTATCTGTGGACTTCATTACAACATGAACTAGCTAAGCTGAGCTAGATTAATTATTTGAAATATTTACAGTATCTCGGGGGAGTGTTTTATGTAGAGTTGCCAGATTTCATTGGGATATACCGTGTACAGAAGCGAAAGTGTGATTTAATGAGGAGATACATTTCTTTAATAGCAGTAGCAAGATTAAGCAAATCATTTTATTATTATTAATAATAATAAAAATGTTCACAAAACCAGCACCATTATTAGAAACTCAGGTAAAAATGTATTTACTTGTTTAAACGCATTTCTTCTCGCACAATCTGGCAACGCATGATGTTACGAGGAAAACATCTCTGCTGAGGTTTAGAGGCTAATCGGTCTTTGTCAGTCACGTGCGTTTGTTGTGTGTGACGTCACAACTGCGCCATTTTTGAGGTATCGCTTCCCGAGACAACTTGAGAGACATAACGCAAGAGTGATATATGGTCAAGCTGGAGAAATACAAGGAAATCGGGAGCGCGTGGTACCGCAATAAACTAAACAAACATGCCAGGGACCGTCATTTTGATAAACTGTCTTACATTCAGGATCTAGATCCGTTTGAATGAACTGCAAGCCAATGGAGTGCGCTGCCGCCGCCAACCCCTCATTGCTGATAATAATGACATGTCATACTGTATATCATCAATGTCTTAATATACATTGTTTTAGTTTGAACACCATTAAACCACAGTAAGTATTTCTAATTATGTATTGCAGTTTTCGTTTTACTTCATTACCGTTAGTTACATCTAATATTTACATTTACAAACTATTTGATGTTTGTATCCAAAGTATTTTACAAATATGAACAATAAACATAACAGACGTGACGTCGAGCACGAATGTTAATGTAGTACATGAGGAAGCAGATTCAAAAAGGAGAATGAAGAGCGCAGTCTTAAATTGACAATTTTAAATATTTACGATGTCATCCGACAAAAAGTAGTTATTATTTTTCGCCTCTATCTGGCAACCAGGTTACTGCGAATGAATTAGTGTTTAATTGTTATATAATATTATTTAGTTTGACAACCAGATTGCATGGTCACACTTATACTTGAATGACATAAAATTTGCCACAGCTTAAAAACAGCAATAGCTATATAACAGCTTTTGTTAAAATGTAACAGATTATATGATACATTGTATCAAAGATTTGTCTTTTCATGAACTACTGGGTGAGGCAAAGTGTTAATATTTAGATCTATAATGTTTAGCATGACTAATCCATAGAGGATAGCAGCTAGTATAGTGAGCTAAAACCAGTTTTTAAATAACTAATACACTGTAAAAAATAACTTGTGTGATAAATTAGTCATGACAGCATAGGTTTTAGTTCATGGTAACAGTTGAACATAACAAAGTTAATCATGTTCTAACTTAATTTTAGAAGTCATGCAAGCTGTTTTAAGTCAGTTTATGGACTCACAAGGTTAATTTGATCCAGAAATATTTCAGGCAACCAGGATTTTACAGTGTAGTTTAAAGATATAGACTATATTCATTTATTTATTTTATTTTCAGCTTAATCCCTTTATTAATCAGGGTGACCCACACAGCGGAATGAATCACCAACTTCTCCAGCATAAGTTTTATGCAGTGGATGACCTTCCAGCTGCAACCCATCACTGGGAAACACCCATTCACTCTCATTCACACTTATACACCACGGACAATTTAGCTTACCCAATTCTCGTATAGCACATGCCTTAGGACAGTGGGGGAAGCCGGAGCACCTATGGGAACACGGGGAGAACATGCAAATTCCACACAGAAATGCCAAATGAGGCTCGAACTAGTGACATTATTCTGCTGTCACAAAAAATGTAAACAATAATTATTAAACAAAATCTGTTTTATTGTAAGAGGGGTTACAAAGAAACACCTGTTGTACACCCATTTAATAAACAAACAAACAATCGAACAAACAAAAATATTCAAATACCAAAACGAGACATAATTTACACAGGTTTGTATAGGGTCAGTGGTTTAGTCAATAGCAGGGTAGGGTCAAACACGAAGACTTATTCTGTATATTAATTCTTTTTTTTTTCTTGCAAACAGAACTTTCATATAAGGCTATGTTTACAACAATTCCAAAAACCCGGCTGTTACTTTTTCTTTCTGAATCTTGAACATTACACAAGCTCATAACTGGCGAACACAGCATCGCTTAAAACCAAAAAACTGAACATAGGTCCTGCCTTAACTTTTGTTTCTTTTAAATCTTTCTTTTAATAACAAGCAACAAATGTTCTTATGCTCTGTGACTGAATGCCAATAGAGGTATAGGGTACAGGAAACACGACAAAAGGTGCATATAAATGAACACTTCGCAGTACTGTAAAGGTTCCGGTTCTGGAAACTGATCAGCAGAATGCAAGATTTTGTCGGAGAGAGAAGACAGAGAGGATGGGTACTTCGATTTATCACAGACAGCCAAGAAAGAGGTAAAAACAAATAAAATATCCGAGAGCCTCCCCACTAGATTTTTTTAATCATGTGCTTTTAAACTTCTCAACCTAACTGAGAAAATAACGTATTCAGGATAAGGCTCTAATGCAAAAAAAAAAAAACACCACACACAAACATTCAACTCTCTCCACAGTAACTGTATGCGATACAAAGAATAATATCAGTATTTTTTAAAACTTGAAAGCACCAAGCCAAACTCAAAATCTCCTCTCTGTCTGCATTGTGTTTTATGTTATCGGAGGGTCTGTCTTTGGTGTGCTTATGATGAACAGGCACAGTGTGTAATGTTTACCACTTCACTATGAGTCTATTGGTTTACTGTCAGATTGATGTGGACAGAAGTGTATACACATACACGACCGTGTTAGGACTTTAGCTTTGAATGGGAGGTGGGGTGAAAACTTTTGTTGTTGAATTTGTTCTCCATGAACAGGCGAGTGTAGAGAGCAGGCCGGGCTCCTGGCAGTGGCTTTGGTAGATGAAGGGGATGAGATGATGCAGGAGGAACTGGGGCCAAATGGGTTGGTTGAATCCAGCTGAAGTATAGTGGTTTATGATCGCTTTTTTCTTCCCTCAAAGTTCCTGAAGTTGGCAGGTCTGATCTTCATCTCTGCAAACTCAACAGAGTGCTCGTGACCCTTCCAGTGGAACCAGTTTACACCCTGGGGATGAAATCATTTACATTATGTATACATTTCATAACCTCATCAATAGTCTTTTAAAGGGAATCTGTCTGTAGAAAGCATGTATGAAATGCGTACCTTGCTGTGGCTGTTGTCTCCATATCTGCCCATTATATTTACTCGATGACAGTTTTTATACCAGAAAGCTCCCTTATATGACAGAGCACAGTTGGTGACCGCTATATCATTGTCATTATCGTAAGTTGAGAATGGACGGCCGTGATGATATGTCATTGAATCACCTTTAAAAAAGAAACAAAAAGAATCATGAAATAAGTCAGCTACCATTGATTGCTAATGTATTGGAGACTTACTTTTAGTTGAACAGTTGACATGTAATTCCAAAGTTACCGAACTCTATCATAAGTCATTACTAAACTTAGTAATAAGAACTCAAACTCAAGTCATAAGGAATGATTAAGCAAATACTTCTGTTAATAGTGCTAGGAACTGTGCAAAAGTTCCTCCACCTAAAAAGGGACCCTCAAAATAGTTTTAGCGTCTATAAAGCTTAGTTCACTGGAGAAATGAACTCTATAGAAGATCATTTCTCTAATCATTTGCACTACATCAGCCAGTAGTGATGTCCTAATAATTTTATTGGTTTACATGTATCTGTTTTGGTATTATATAATGGAAGCTGCTGTTTGAAATTATTTTTCTTCGCAGCTTGAAAACGTCTTGTTGAGAGTACATTTCTATCAGTATTACTATTAGATTACAGTGATCTACTTTTTATGCACACACTACTGAATGTTTTTTTTTTTTTAATTGGATATTGTTTATCATAGTGATAGTTAAGATTTGTCACTGGTTCAAGTGCACACACACACACACACACACGCACACACACACACACACACACACACACACACACACACACACACACACACACACACACAGGCATCACTGTAATTTATATGAAATGACAGAATGGACCTCATTACATTTGAGGTGAAAACAACATATTTTAGTTTTCAGTTGTAAAGCTTTAGTTGGTAAATTACCAAAGTATATATATATATATATATATATATATATATATATATATATATATATATATATATATATATATATATATATATATATGGTTACTGGTTAGAGTACTGTTCAAATACTTACAATACCAGATCGGCAGATATACTCTTACTTAAGATGTCTTTTTTCCACACAAAGTTAGGTTGATCTGCATTCTCCAAGTATGCTCCAAATGTATGAGCTTCAACATATACTACTTATGAAATCCGCACAATCTATTGCAATTTTTATAAATATTTTAAAGACTCAGTTTAGAACAGTGCACGTTTTAACAATTGATTATGGTTTATACAATTTTTTTTGTGTGTGTCTATGTGTTTATGTCTATTTATTTTTTTGTAACTTTGTCCTATGCTGCCTGTCTTGGCCAGGACACCCTGGTAGAAGATATCTCAATGGGACATTCGTGGTAAAATAATTAAACAAGTAAATAAATGTTTTCAACAAACAAACTGAAATAATAATAATAAAAACATTTTATTATTAGATCTAGACAATAAAGTAAAACCTGCCTTAGTGCAATTTACATGTTTGCATTCAGGGCTAAACAAGAGGGTTATGTCTAAAAATACTTAATAAATTAATTTGTAGTTGCACATCATTTTAAATAATCACACATTCAAACACTGGGTACTAAAAAATAAGAACATTTATAGGTTAGGATTATTAGTGGTTTACGGTTATTATGTGTAGCTAAGCATAATTTACTATTCATCTCATGAATAGTAACATGTCGAGTAGATGTAACGTGTAAAATAAAGTGTTAGGGCTCAGCAGTTAATTGTATCCTTTAAGTTTATAATAAGATGTAATATGCAAGT